ACCTGTTCTTCCTCCCACCTATCCCCTCCTCCCACCTCAAGCCGCACCCCCATCTCCTACCGACTAACCTCATCCCGCCCCCTTGACCTGTCCGTCCTCCCTGGACTGACCTATCTCCTCCCTAACTCCCCACCTACACTCACCTTTACTGGCCCCATCCCCGCCTCTTCGACCTGTTTGTTTCCTCTCCACCTATCCTCTCCTCTATCCATCTTCTATCCGCCTCCCACTCTCTCCCTATTTATTTCAGAACCCCCTTCCCCTCCCCCTTTTCTGATGAAGGGTCTAGGCCCAAAACATCAGCCTTTCTGCTCCTATGATGCTGCTTGGCCTGCTGTGTTCATCCAGCCCTGCACCTTGTTGTCTAGGGTAATAGAGAGTTTCTCTGTATCTAGCATATTTCTACCAGTTGTGAAGTCTAGGGCTGGGGGGCACATCATCTAAAAATTAGAACCAATCCTTTCGGGGTGAAATCACAAAACATGTTTTACACACATGAGACTCTTAATTCCAGATTTTTATTGAATTCAGATCCCACTATCTACCATAGCAGGATTTGAGCCCGGGTCCGCAGAACATTACCTGGGTCTCTAACACTAGTAGGTAACCACCTCCCCATTGTTAATCCTAAACTTCAGATTGATATAACTTTCTAACTAATAACTATGTTAAGGGATAAGGGACATATGTGCTTCCTGGTTACAGATTGACTGTCAGAACAGGTTTGAGAAGTGGAATGGCCTCTTGAGTTCCTTTGACTGAATTTTTCTTGAGTTTCCCTGTCCCAATTATCTCCTGACCTGACATTCCCCATCCTCCCCTGAAGATTTCACTTGATCATGTGTAACTGAAAAGATTACTGCTCTTCAAGTTGAAACATTGATTGTCTGGACTCCCTGCAAGAACTGAAGGAGATGAGAAATCTAATTGATGAAGATTCCACCAACCATTGCAGACAGATTGGGTTTTGCTTCCAAAGAAAGAGAGTTGAAAATCAGAGAAGTCATATTAAACTTGATTTGAACCTTCAGTTTTATTCTTTTGTGGGATGTGGACATCACTGCCAGCATTTGTTGTCCTTTTCTGATTGCCCTGGAGAAGGAGCCAGTCCATCTGTAACAGTTTGAGTGGCTCATGAATGCAGTTATGGGTCAGCCACATTGTGAGTCAGGAGTCACACAGGCTAGGTAAGGACGACAAACTAGTGAATTAGCTAATGATACAAGAATACAGGGCTGCAGAGTTTTGTACCACCTGGAGTTTCCGGGAGGTGGAAGGTCAGCTGGGAAAACATTGGAATGGTTGACTGGGCATTTGGATTGTGAATTTTGAATGGAACTGATCCTTGCTTGTTGTCTTTTTCAGGTCGGACGCTGGGCTCTGGAGCCTTTGGTAGGGTGGTTGAAGCAATGGCCCATGGACTTGGTCACTCTAACTCCACCATGAAAGTTGCTGTAAAGATGCTGAAGAGTGAGTCTTCACTGACATACCATTTTGTCCCATATAGGGTCTGATTGCAAGGGAGCCCTCCCTTCAATCTGAAGGGCAATTCTGTCATTTCCACTTTATTTCACACTCAGGCTCATTGCTTATCCACTATTGGGATGGATGTGGGCACAGATTAACAATTATTACCAATTCCTAATTGGTCTGAGAAACATTGATCACAGGTTTGATACAAGTTTTCAGTCTTGTTGGGTCATTGGTCTGGAGTTACATGGAGGCCAAACCAGGTGCATTGGCAAATTTCCATCCCTAAAGGACAAAATTGAACCAGTTGGATATTTACAAGAATTTAACAGCCTCATGATGACTTTAATAATACCAACCTCACCCTACCTGATTTTTAAAAGTTATACTGAAATTCTCAAACTGCCTGTGGTGAGATTTAAACTCTGGTTTTCTACATTGTTCAGTCCACGGGCTTAAACTACTACATGCCAATGCCCTTTAGCAAAGTTTAATTTATCTCATCAAGCAATTTGCGAACCATGTATAGCTTATGTTTTCATAGTCGCTTGGCTTCTGAGAAAGTGAAACTGTTTTCCCTATAGACGTTGTGTCTATTAATGTCCAAGCAACTGTTCGGTCTTCTATCCAGCGATAAGCCCTTACTTTTAAGGCAAATCCACAATCACAAGTAAGGTGTGTGGTGGAGCTGTTCCAGCACAGGTATAACACTGGCATCTACCCAACAATGTGGAAGATTGCCCAGGTATGTCCAGTACACAAAGCAGGACCAAATGCAGCCCGGCCAATTACTGCCCCATCAGTGTACTATCGATCATCAGTAAAGTGATGGAAGGTGTCACTAACAGTGCTATCAAGCAGCACCTGCTCAGCAATAACCTGCTCAGTGACGCCCAGTTTGGGTTCCGCCAGAGCCACTCAGCTCCTGACCTCATTACAGCCTTGGTTCAAACATGGACAAAAGAGCTGAATTCCCGAGGTGAGGTGAGAGTGACAGCCTTGACATCAAGGCTGCATTCAACCGAGTGTGGCATCAAGGAGCTGTAGCAAAACTGGAATATGTTGTCGGAAAGAACACTCCATTATTTGGAGTCAAACATTGCACTGAGGAAATTGGTTGTGGTTTTTGGAGGTTAGTCATCTCTGCCCCAGAACATGCAAGCATTGTGGGCTAGGCCAGCGTTTCATGTCCATCCCTGATTGCCCTGGATCAGGTGCCTGCTTGACACACTGCAATCCCTGGGGTGTAGGCATAACCACACTGCTGTTAGGGTGTGAGTTCCAGGACCCTGAAGGAATATATTTCCAAGTCAAGGTGGTGACTGGCTTGAAGAAGAAGTTGCAGGCCGTGGTGTTCCCGAATACCTGCTGCCCTTGTCCTCCTGGATGGTATGGGTCATGTGTTTGGAAGGTGCTGTCTAAGGATCTTTAGCAGATTTCTGCAGTGTGTCTTGTAGAGTGTACACTCTGCTGCTACTGAGTATTCATGTTGGAGGGAGTGGTCAATCAGTAATGTTACTATTAAGTCAATACATCAACATATTGATTTCATCATCTTGAACGTCTCCCAACCATCTTGCTGCAAGTAAAAACCTGATTGGTTGTCTGTGATTTACAGCTACTGCACGGACCAGTGAGAAACAAGCCCTGATGTCAGAGCTGAAAATTATGAGTCACCTTGGTCCTCATTTAAATATTGTTAATCTGTTGGGAGCCTGTACCAAAGGAGGTAAGAACCAAGTTTACTTAGAGCTATTCTCACTTGTGGTGCTAAACTCATTCAGAGGAAATAAAACTGCTAACACTCTCAAAGCAAGGATAGTAGACGAGCCACTAATGGCCCACAAAAATTACAAGGCAAAAGTAATTGTTGTTAAGATTCACATGCCCTGGATTAGGGCCTGAAGCCTACCCAGAAACAGGATTTACTCTGGATCTGGAACAGCATGCCTACCCTGCAACTGGGACACAGGGCCATCACTGGATCAGGGACCCTTGGGCCTACCCTGGATCAGGGGCCCTCAGACCTACCCTGGATCAGGGATCCTCGAGCCTACCCTGCATAAAGGGCCCTTTGGCCTGCCCTGGATCAGGGGCCCTTTAGCCTAGCTTGGATCAGGGGCCCTTTGGCTTAGCCTGGATCAGGGGCCCTTGGCCCTACCCTGGATTAGGGGTCCATGGGTGTATCCTGGATCAAGGGCCCTCAGGCCTACCTTGAATCAGAGGCCCTCACGTGTACCATGTATCTGGAACTCTGGAACATCGAACTTACCCAAACTTGTTCCAAGACCTGATGTGGATAAGGGGATCAGAACCCCAACATGTGTCAACATCCATAGATGCTAATGCATGTTATCAGTAAGCTCATACAGAAACCATGGTAGATCAGGAAGCTGCCCTTCATTCCTTTCAACATCCTTGTTATGATGAAGAAGACAAAACTGAATGTACTCCAAGTGCAGTATTCAATATTTCATGAGCGAATCTGATTTTGATGACTAAGCAGATGTTATTGTTGTAATGTTAATTTTGGAGTCAAAACTGGAAGGAGAGATGATCAGTCTGGGAAGACCAGAGTTTCCCCCAGTTCTGTCCACAGTCTGAGATTGTGTGACAGAGGCACTGTAACAGGGACTGACCAATCAGACTGTGATGGGGAGGTGCTGATGGAGTCGTTATGCTCGGTGAGAGATTTTGAATTTGTATTGGGCAGGTCCAATCTACATCATTACCGAGTACTGTCGCCATGGCGATCTGGTGGATTATCTGTACAGGAACAAACATACCTTCCTACAACACTACGCTGACAAAGGGCAGAGAGAGTCAAACAACGTCATCACAAACTCCTACAACGAGAGGATGAAGAGGTAATGGTGTCTTTACCCATTCAACAACAACAACGTCAATTTGTATGGCACCTTCAAAACAGCAAGACAGCCAGGAGAGTTGTAGGGGCTTCTGCTTTTTACAATTCCATGGGATGAGGACATATAGCCAAGGCACAATGTTTGAAGCCTGTTCCTCACTGTCTTTGAGAAATGGGTAGTCAGCAGCACTTTGAGAACTCAGATCACCACCATCACTTCAAGGGCAATTAGGGTTTGGTAACAAATGCTGGCCTTGTCAGTGATGCCCACATTCCAGGAGCGAATATTGAAAATAGTCAAAGAGGTAGGCCTTAACGTGAATAAAGGCGAGGGAAGGAAGTTCAGGGAGAGAATTCCAGAGCTTGGGTCCTAGGCAGCTGACGGCATGACCACCAGTGATGCAGAAAGAACAAGCAAGGATGTACAAGAGGCCAAAATTTGAGGAGAGCAGGTATTTTGGAAGTTGTGAGCTGGAGGAGAGTGGGAGGAACAAGGCTGTGGAGGGATTTGAAACTAATCATCAGAATTTTAAAATAGAAGACGATTAAGTAGGTCAGAGAGTGACAATTACAACCTTGCCCCATCAAGTGCCAATTTCTGCCCACCCTGTTACATCCTTATTCTCTTTGATGTCAAGGCACACCCAGAATTGGTGAAATAATAATAAAGATTATTTATTTGAAGGTTAGATAGATTTATTGCGACGCTAATCTGATTTCTGTCCCGCTGATTGCAAGATACTAATAAGTCATGGGACCAATATACATCATCCTGTCCAAGTATGTAATCATTGTCAGTGGTTTAAGATGTGTCTCCTTAAAGATACATGCTCATCAAGTAACAACATCCCCTATTTTTTCTAAACAAAATGTTTACGCTTAAGGAATCAAGCTATTTACATGACAACAAAACAAAATATAATTGTGCTTCAATTCACTTTAATATAGAGGAATAAATGTGGGTTATTTGTTCAAATGGCACCATCATTCAGTATGATCATAGCCGATCTTCAATCTTAACGCCACGTTCCCACTTTCTCCCCATACCCTTTGATGCCTTTATCTTTCTCTTTCTTGAATATATTTCAGTAAATTAGCCTCCACAGCCTTTTGTTGTGTAGAATCCTACAGGTTTGCCATACTTTGAACGGAAGAAAATTTCTTCATCTCAGTCCTAAATAATCTATCCAGTATTCTGAGACTGTGTCCTCTATTCTAGACTCACCAATTGGGGAAAACGTCTCTCTGCATCTAATCTGTCCAGCCCTGTTACAATTTTATATAGGTCCCCTTTCAGTCTTCTAAACTTGAGTGAATATAGGCCCAATCAAACTAATGTCTCCTCACAGGACAGTCCTACCATCCCCAGTGTCAGCCTAGTGAACCTCCGCAGTGCGCCCTCTATGGCAAGTATGTCATTTCTTAGATAACAAGGTGTGGAGCTGGATGAACACAGCAGGCCAGACAGCATCAGAGGAGCAGGAAAGCTGACATTTCGGGTCTGGACCCTTC